AAAAACCCACCCCGGCTTGGCTGCCTGGGTAATTCTGGGAGTTGAAGTCCACACATCTTCAAGTTGCTAAGGTTGAGAAACACTGGTTAAGACTCCGACTTCCAAGATGAAGGACGTAATTTCCATCTCTCGCTGGATCTTCCAGGCAATAATTCACACAACCCCTGTTTTGTCTTCCATAATGGGATCTTTTTCTGATCCTGCCCTCATGTGGTCAAACTTATACTGAAACCTAGCTTGACGGAGGCCGGTCCTCTTTTCCTTTCCCACGGTGGTCTCATGCAGACGTTTCATCTGACTGCTGCGGCCTCCCTCTTGACTTTTTTGACCGCACCTTGGGACACCCACCAATGGTTAGCTTCGTTTTCTGTCAGCCCTTCCCAAAGAGAGCCTTGCAGCTTCCCACAGCTTCGGAGCTCCCCAGGCCTACCTCCGGCCCTGCCCGCCTTTCCCAGCGCAGGGGAGAGAAATCATGTCGGGGAAACCGCAAAACCAGCCGCCTCAAGATCTCCCACACGGCGTTAGCAGTTTATTCCTCCTCGCATTACTTTCTTTCCCTTCGAGCACTTTTGTCCTGTGTTTTGTTTGTCTGATTTCGTTTCGTTGTTTGATCAGCAGAATTTCCCAAAATCACGCGCCGCTGGCATCAGCTACAATAAAGCTGCAGAAAGCTGTGGTTTTGTTTTATTCGCCTCGTTGCTATCACTCGCTTTCAGGTCAAAGGCAACAAGGAGCCCAACCACCCTTAAAACAGCTTTAACAATTTAACAAAAAATGGGAGTTTCATGTCAGGACAGGGAACGCCACTGGGATGCTTTGCTTACTGCTGCTCAGAAGGGAAATTCAGAAACGTCCCTCACGGGGACCAGTTGTGTCCTTATGGGTCGGACCCAGCGGAATCCCTAAGCGTGTTTTTCTATCCTGCCTCTTCTCCAGAGCTATTAGAAGCACCTTTTTAGTGGGCTTCCCAGGACGTACGGACCTTTCTTATATTCAGCTACTGCTGGCTGACCAGTACAATCGTACATCTCTGGCCAAATTCTGTTTGCTGCCTTTAAGATGAGAAGCCAAACTCCGATCCAGCGAGAGAAACTCTTCCCCTGGATTTTTTTTTTTTTAAATCCCAGTTGCTGTCTGTCTTTTCCTGTTTTTGTTTTAGTCGGCTTTTAAACAACAACAACAAAACCATGTGTTTTCTTTTCCTTTTCTTTTCCTTTCGGTGTTTTGGTCTGTGCCCGTAAACTGAATCAATGGAAAATGAAATGAAATGATAGGGAATGGGGTGGATGGTCTTCTTCTGCCCCGCGGTTCCATCAGGGTCCTCTTCACTGGCAGGTGAACATGGAAACGGCTCGGTTCTTCAAGTCGGACTTTGAGGAGAATGGGTCCATGGAGAACGTCTGCCTCTTTCTCAACTTGGCCAACGACCCCACGTGAGTCCACGGCCTGGTTCCGGGGGCAGGACGGAGGGAGCCGCAGCCCCCGGGACTCAGCCTCCTCTCTCCTGCAGGATCGAGCGCATCATCACGCCCCGCCTGGCTCTGACCACCGCGGAGTTCCTGGCCTATCAGTGTGAGAAGCACATCCTGGTGATCTTGACCGACATGAGCTCGTATGCTGAGGCTCTGCGGGAGGTCAGTGGGTCGGTGCTGGGCCAGAGTCTCCTCACTGACCATGAGGGTCATGGGTGGGGCACAGGGTCAGACCTGGCCTCCTCTCTGCCCCATGAGGTCTCCCCTCTTGCACTTTCCTCAATAGGTCTCTGCGGCCAGAGAGGAGGTGCCTGGACGACGGGGATTTCCAGGCTACATGTACACTGACTTGGCCACCATCTATGAGCGGGCAGGACGGGTGGAGGGCAGGAATGGCTCCATCACGCAGATACCCATCTTGACGATGCCCAACGATGGTGAGGAAGGGCTGGAAGAGGTCAATCTCTTGCCAAGATAGCCAGTCCGCTGGGGAGAAACCTGTGCAGGGACTGGGGAAACAGTGCTGGAAAAGGGGAGGGGAGACTCTGGGAACAAGAATTACGGGAAATGCAACCAGGGGAGGTGGTGTTTACCCTACTGAAAAACAGAGACAGCATGAAGTCATGCCTAGTGAAATTGGGTGGAGTGATTCCCTGGTGGAATTTGCTTTTAGACCAACTCATGGGAGAGGACGATATATTTCCAGTGTACCCCCACCCCCTACCCCCAAGTGAGATGCTTTTTGACCTGAGGACCAAACAGCTCTGGCTTTCTTAGAGAAGCAGAATTCCTGCTCAGCCCTTGCACTCCATGATGTTGGGTCACCCTAGGCAGAGGACTCTCCAACAATCCTCCCACGTTACAACCAGGAAAATTACATGAAGGGATGCTCCCCTGGGGTTTGGCCCCCCAACTCATCAACCAGCAGAAAGACCTGGGTGGGATTCTGCTGTATTCTGGCCTCCCTTTCTCAAGATGCATTCAAGCAGAGCCTATCTAGATGCTTTGATCTGGATTTCTGCACTCTGGTCAGAAATCATTGGGCTGTGAGAATTGAGAACCAGGCCACCAGAAGCAGGTCTCAGTTCCTCCTCTGGGGCCCCAGAAGTTCTCCAAATTCTTGGCTGCTCTAAAATCGGAGAGGAAACTCAGCCTCCGCTATATAAATCATGAGCAGAGATGGGTGTTCCTTAGGAGGAAGCAGAGGGAGGGGAGATCCCCGGGAAACTTTGAAACTGCAAAACTGAAGACAAGGCTACTTTAGCTTCAAGGCTCTGGGGCAGGGGGTGGGGGTGGAATTTGTGCCCCCTTCCTTCCTGGAAAAATGATCAAGGCAGAGAAGAGGCCAAACTGGTTCCGTTTCTTGGCCTGAGAAGAAGCAATTGGGCTTCCCCTGTTTCGTATCTCCTCTCCACCCACCAAGGATGTCTGCAAGGTATGGTCAAAAAATCCAGATGGTGGCCACGGCAGTGGGATTGAAGCTTCTCCTGTTAAATGGGTGGAGCTTCAATCACATCATCTCAACCACCAGCTTGACTTTTTTGACTATATCCTGCAGACCCCTCCTCCCTGAGAAGATTCCTCTGTCCTTGGCTGGAGGACCAAGAGCTGCTGGGCTGGGTGTCTCAGAGTGGCAGATCCAGGTTTCTATACCAGTGCCTCTGCTATCATCTGCCTTGAGGTTCTTTTGATGAGCAAGTGAGATATGTAAGCAAAAGTAAGAAGCTTCCTTCGAGAAGGTCTTCACAGGAACATCTACACAGTTTTCTCAACAACAGTAGGGAAGTAGTTTGCTCTTCCCGTGGTTTGGGATTTTTTTTTCCAGTTTCCCAGATTAAGCCATAACCTGGGATTTCCATGGACTTTCCCTTCCAATGACCCTGGTTTTTTGGCCAACATTGGCTAAATGCTGCTATCTAGCTGGGCAAAACAAAGAGTTCAGCTCCCTCTAGAGTAGGCTTGCATGGCATAATTCAACCAGGCCAAGGACCCCAGTCATGTCTGCTCCAGTTGGGACCCACTCAGCACAGTCCCCCACCAATGTGGCTTCCACAGCCCTGCCAGCGAAGATCCTGGCACCAAATCAGAGATCTGCTTTGCCCTGTTGTGGTTGGCCCTGTAGTGGTGATGGAGAACAGCACAAGCAGGACAACAAGGTTGCTTTCTAAGGACACCATGCTAGGAGTTGTTAGCATTTTAAGGGGGGGGGGTTGTTTTGTTTTGTTTTTTGGTGCCTTCAAGCCAATCCTGACTCATGTTGACTGCCTGGACAAATCCACACCGTTTTCGTAGCAACACTTTCAGAAGTGGCTTTCCGTTGCCTTCTTCTTGGGTGAGAGACTAGAACTCACCATCTCCTGGTCCCTAGCCGATGCCTTTAACCACTGCACCAAACTGGCTCTGTTTAAGTTTTTATGATTGTACAAACGTACAAGTCCATTAAGGCCTTGTGCAGTGGGTGGAAAGCTGTCTCAACAAAGGAGGTTAAAGAAGGCTCTGAACTGTTTGGGAAGGGTGGGAAGGGAGGCCAGTGTGCCGATGGTGAGGACCCAGCGTACATCCTATGGAGGAGAAGAGGCTTCTGAGTTTGCTTATGGCTAATGACATCTCCTTGCAGATATCACCCATCCCATTCCTGATTTAACCGGCTTCATCACTGAAGGGCAAATTTATGTGGACAGACAGCTTCACAATAGGCAGGTAAATGGTCTGGGTCTTGCCTCCCAGCTTTGTGAGTTTCTGGGAAGTCCAGAAGTCCTCATTCCCACCACCTCATGGATCTCATGAAAAACTGCCACAGGCCGGTTACCGTGACCACCGGAAGGCAGGCACCATGTGCCGGTTTCATCCTCTTTGGGAACCATCAGATGCGCGTGGCCAGATCTTATTCTGTGGGGTTCAAATGCTCTACCGGGGATTGAACTCATGGACTGTCACGCTTTAAATGGCTACATACAGTACATTAGTTTTAGGAGCTATAAGGGCCATGGACCTCCTCCCCTCCCTGTTTCATCTAAGGCCCTTGGCTCCCACCGAAGCATGCTTGCTCCCCGCTTGCTCTGCCTTCGTGATGCATGCTCTCTTGGGCCACAGATCTACCCTCCCATCAACGTGCTGCCATCTCTCTCCCGCTTGATGAAATCCGCTATTGGAGAAGGCATGACGCGGAAGGACCATGGGGACGTTTCCAATCAACTGGTAAGCACTTGGCCTGCCCCAGATGGTGTGTCAGAGTTGTGGCGCTCAGACCCGGGAGGGGAGGAAGCGCGCTGCCCCTGCCAGCTTCGGGGAAAGGGAGCAGGGGAACCCTCCCCTCCGAAACTGCTGTGGAAAATGACCAGGCTCTCTGGACTGGGAGCGCTAAAAGGTTAATGGGGGGAGGGACTGGGTTTCGCTTCACTTTGGGATCGGAAAGCGGTAAATGATGGAGTTCTTTCTTCAGAAAAGCCCCCTTGCAGATGAAGAAGAAGTGGTTCAAATTTCCGGCACACGCACAGGCAGAAAGTTAGGCTTTAAAACCCCTGAATGTAGAGGCCAACCTGGAGTCACCGAAAAGAAAGGGCAGAAGTGCCGTGCATTGCTCACAGTTCACTGCGGGAGCCGGGACTGCCTTTCGCAAAGGGCCACAGGGCTGCCCACGTGGGGCCAGGCTCTGGTGGAAGGCCGCTCTGACTTGGTCTCTGGCAGGGGAAGGATGCGAGGGTCCACTCAGACAGAGCCCAGGTTCTCCCGCAACTCTCCCTCCTGGCCTTCGGGACATCCCCTTTGCAGCAGGGCGAACTCGGAGGGATTGGGGCACCACGTAGGTCCCTGTGAGCCCAAATGGGCTTGAGTCCCCGAAATGGCACGGCTAACATTTTTCTGCCTCGGTTGGCTGGTATTTTCAGTGTTTTAAGGGAGAAGGTGGGAGCAGGGCCTAAGGCTCCGTCTGGGAGACTTTGGGTCTACCCTTTATTGCTTGGGAGGCATTTAAGGGTGGAGAGGGGAACCAGAGGCTTCCCCGTCCCTTCTCCTTCTTAGAACCCTAGGGAAAATGCCAAACGTGGACTGGAATCTCACTCCCGTCCTGCCCTTAATTTTGAAAAGAAAAACGGTGCTGTCAGCATTTGATGCTACGCTCTCCATGGGCTCAGGGCCACTGGGCAGGTGCTGGGGTGGGTCAAAGGCCGAAGGCTGCTTTGTAGGCGCAGCCTGTGTGTGTGTTCTCCACAACAGGGATCAGCAAAGGGTGTGTTAAAATGCACAAAGCTTCTGTCCAGAGGCAGAGGTGTCTGCAGCGTGTGGTCAAAAAAGTCAAGTTAGCAGCTCTGCAACGCCCATAAAAACCAGACATACTGTACTTAGTTAGCACCACCATATTGATTTTTTGACATGTCCTGCAGACACCCCTGCCCAGAGGGGCTTCAGGGCCCCCCGTTTCTTGATGTGACCCAGGACAGGATTCTGAGTGATTCTCTTGCTCTGTGTCCAGTACGCGTGCTATGCTATTGGCAAGGATGTTCAGGCCATGAAGGCTGTGGTGGGGGAAGAGGCCCTGTCCGCCGATGACCTTCTCTATTTAGAGTTCCTGCAGAAGTTTGAGAAGCAGTTCATTGCACAAGGTATGTGGGGGAGGCTCTGGGTGAGCAGTTGCTCTGACCCGGGTCAGAACCTTGATTTTTGGCTGTGAGCAAGGAAGGGCTGGAGGTGGCCCTCCAGCAGCAGCAACTGACCCAGGCTTTCTGGAGATGTGATCGCCACTCTCTCATGAGCAAGAGGACGAACCCAGGCTGGGTGGAAAGTGGGAGGCATCTACAGAAAGGAGGGAGGGATTCCAGGGGGTCCTTTGAAGGGTGCTGAGATTTTGAGTTGGGGTTGTTCAAGTCTTTCCTCCTTGCACCGTGGTCATTAATTGGTTTATTGGTATGATTTCTGCCCTTCTCAGTTCCTGCAGACCATGAATGGCTTATGTCCACCAACAAGGATTCCAAACAGTAAAATAAAATCAGTCAGGGACAAGATGTGTCTCCAACTGGTGTTAGGCTAGTCTTCAGCATCCCCCAAATGCTGTCTTGTCTGTATTGCTCTTCAAGAACCCAGCAAGGTGTGGATATCTAGATGCAAGCTGTTGCACAGAAGGTGGGAGGAAGGCAATGCTGTGAAGGTTGGATTATGGGTCCCTCCAAATGACATTCCATCAGAGTGGGGCCCCTTTGCAAGCCTTCGCCTCCCAATCTCACCAGACGGGCAAATTCAGTTTGGGGAATGCAGTCATGAAGGCAGCAAATCCTTAACGCTTTAAAGGTAACAACATGACAGCTAAACAGCAGCCCATGAAGCCACTGCATGTTGCTCCAATGGAAGCGTCTGTGTGGTCTTCAAGGGCAGCCCCATGTAGAACAAATTGCAGTAGTCCAGTCATGAGGCGACAAAGGCATGAGTGTCTATTCATAATGCCTCCTGATTCAGGAAATAACATAACTGAACACCAGATGTAAGAATGCAAAGTCTGTCCTAGCCACAGCTTCAACTTGCTGCTTGAGCAGGAACTGAGTCCAGAAGGACACCTAGAATGTGAGCCAACTCTTTATGGGGCAGCATGACTCTCTTAGATCCTTGGGTGGCTGAGAAGACAAATCATTGTTTTCTGCCCTCCTAAAAGAAGATAGATAACTGTCTGTGTATCATCTCTCTTTCTCTATCATCATCATCATCATCATCATCTCTGTAATAAATTTGTGGCATCTGTTTCTCCCAGGTGCCTATGAGAATAGGACCATCTTTGAGTCTCTGGACATTGGCTGGCAGCTGCTCCGGATCTTCCCCAAAGAGCTGCTGAAACGGATCCCAGAAAGTATCTTGTCTGAGTATTACCCACGTGAGGCCAAAGGGAACCCAAACTCTGACACGGCCCTCTGAATCCCAGCCTGTCCAGACCCCAAGTCAGGGGAGATCTGTGCTCAGCCTTGGTCTGGCAGATGGGGGCACAACTCTCAGGAGGTGAAGACGCTGTTTCTTGCATGGAATCAGACCCGAATTCAGTTTTGCAAAGGTTCCTGCCTTCCATACTCTTCATTCTGTGCTTGTCAGCTCTGCAGAAACACTGCCCACTTTCTTTTCTTGTTGTGTAAGAATTGGTTATGCGTGGTGTCCTGATTCAAAATAAAAGTGAAATCCTTTGAACAAGCATCTGAGAACCTTTGTAAACCTTTGTCAGGCTGTCACTGGACTTTCTTTCATTCCTACCCTGTCACGTGCTTGGCAAGCTATTTCACTATTTCACTCAAATAGCAGCTTCTTTTAACTAGATTTATTGAAAGAGCAGAAGAAAATCACAATACAATAAAGATGCTGAGGCCCTAGAAAGTGTGCAGAGAACAAAGATGATAAAGGGTCTGGAGGTTAAATCCTATGAAGAACAGCTAAAGGAACTAGGTATGTTTAGCTTAACGAAGAGAAGACTGAAAGGAGACATGATAGCCGTCTTCCAATCCTTAAAGGGCTGCCCCAGGGAAGAGGGCCTCGATTGATTCTCCATAGCACCAGAGGATAGGACAAGAAGCAGTGGGTGGAAGCTTGTCAGAGGGAGATCCAACTTGGAAATAAGGAGGAACTTCCTGGCAGTAAAAATGATTAAGCAGTGGAACAGCTAACCTCCCAGAGTTGTGGGTGCTCCATTGCTGGAGGTTTTCAAGAAACGATTGGACAACCTTTTGTCCGAGATGGTATGAGGATTCCTGCCTTGGGCAGGGGGCTGGACTAGAAGACCTCCAGGATCCCTTCCAAGCCTACGATTCTATGATTCTATGAAAAGGTTACAGAAGACTCAGCAGCTGGACTGCTTCCACTTTAGAATCCGGTCGATCCCCTTGGTTGCTCAGATGGAGACTTCTCCAGTCTTTTACTCATAGCCTCTGCAAACTGGGCATTCTCTTAACTGATACGCTTCAGCTATCAGCTGGGCCAGTGTTTCTCAGCCTCAGCAACTTTACAATATCAGTGGTGAAACATACCGAAAGAAGAAGGGAAGTGCATGCAAGTTCGAGAGAAGCTAAGGGTTGTCCCACCAGGTCAGGACACTGGGTTACCTTCAGCCCTCACCCTTTTTTTTTTTTTGACCAAGAAAGGTGATGGGGGTGAGCCAGGACAGTTAGGGTTTTTATGGGCAAGGGCGGAAAATGTGTCCAATATTTACAAGTGAGGTTAGGATGTATTAGACAACCCACAGAGCACTTCCCCACGAGGGTTCAATGCCAGCTGGAAAGCAGCGCCACTCTTCACTGAAGCCATAATGTCACTGTTGGGGAGCTGAGCCGGTTTATTTCTGGTTCAATAGTGGTGTAGCTGAAACCAGAGCAAAGCTGACCTTTCCCTTTGCAACGCTTTGCTAGAGCGTTTTCCCAGTTGCTTTCAAGCTGCTTTGGAGCGTCTGGAGTATCGAAATGGTGGCAGCGTGACAGCACCCACAGTTTCCATGGGTCACTGAGTGCAATGCTGTCAGAGTTGTGGTACTGATCTGTGAGAGGGTGTTAAGGAAAGACGCTGGTTTCTGGGAGCGAGGCTGGCCTTCCACCTTGCTGCAAAACTAAGAGGTTATGAAATTGACTGATCTGAAAAAATCCAGTGGTGAAATTGACTAGAGGGTGGGCATAGCCCTAACAGGCTGAGCAGGGAGAGATCAGCCTGCAGGAGAAGACTGGTTTCTTTTTTTAAAAAATCAAATATGCAGGAACGTTTGCAGAGAGGATATTGGAGTGAAAGCCATGGCAGCCCCTAAAGCCTGCCAAGATATGCAAATGGCTTCCAGGCCTTCTGAAGCTCTCTCACACCTCCTTCTCCAAAGACATGGAGTTGTACCCTCATGATGAATTCCAGCTTTGCTACCAAGCATCTAGGGCACGTTAGGGAAGTCTTGCCATCATGTGGCCTCAAGCATATGTAGAAGGCACTGCTGCTGCTGGGGGAATCTTTTCTTAGCCCTACTTGATCAGTGGAATCTGTTGCAAAAATCTCCTTGGCAATGAAGTTGCTGGAGCTCCATATCTCCCCTGGCCCTCATCCCTTCCTGGCCTAAATCTTGATCATTCCTTTGGGTAGAACTATGATTGTAGTCTTAGTAGCTGCCTCATTCCATAGACATCGTTGGTCTAACTAGCTCAGCACCACCTTCACCTGCAGGAATTCCCCAACACTTCTCGACCCTTCCTGGGCATCTCATGGGTGGAAGCCTGGAACTTCTTCAGGGGCTGGACCACAATCTGCCCAGCCAGCCTGGGCAAAGGCGATGGATGGGTTGAATGGAGAAGCAGACACAACCCTTTTGCTCCCCACTTCCTGCGCCCTTCAAATGCCCCAGAACCTTTTTGCCTCAACAAGAATGACTTTTCCGCTTGAAGGCTGGTTTAGGAGGAAGAGTGGTCAAACTAGGGTGAAGGGGAGGTCATTTTCAGAAAGAATTGTTGGGAGGAGGAAGAGTTGAATCATCACCAACACTGGCTCCTTGCAACAAAGATCTTGCATTTTCCTCATAAAAATGGCATCATCTACCCTCATAAAGATAAAATCTCCTCCAAGTTTAGCTTGACTCCTCGTTAAAGCGATATAGAAGCAGTCTGTCATTGCCTCCTTTGGAGATGTCTGGTCCACCTTCCCAGGCTAGCCTGCAACATTGCAATTTCCTGGCCTCACCAGCTTCCTGAGGTCATGTGAAATCAGCTGGGGGTTGATGCCAAGACAGGCCTCCACTGTACCTTTGTACGTAAAATGAAATGGGAGGAAGGACGGGCCTTGCGAAATTCGTAAAGAGTAACTTCTGTTTTTGTCCAAGATCACCATCAGCTTTGGAGTCACTGATCGGGGGCCTCGCTCTAAAAACGTAGGAGGGAACAGGAGAAAAACTGAAGTTGCAAGTCATCCCTTTCCAATGTAAAGTACATGAAATATAATGAAACTCGATTGCTCCCCATATGTTTAATCATGTTCTGATCCTGCCACATTATGGCTGGATGGAGCTGGGAGTCCTCTGGGGGGCTCAGCTTATGCCCCCCCCCCCACCCAGTGTGCAAGATGTCGCCGTGTGGAAACATTTCCATTAGAAGAAGAGAAAAGGGAGCTTTGGGCTGTTTGGGATGTGCCATGGAGAGGAATGGAAGGAAACACCCATGAGGCTCCCGGTGACCTTTCTTCCTCTGGGGAAACTAACTAAGGTTAAATCACACAATTAACACCAGGATGGGGGACCAGGGAAAGCTGTCTTGGAGCCCTTCCACGTTTAGACTTTGGTGACAAAACTCATCTCACCATTTTTGTGTCACCCACGCCCGTGGTCCTTGAGCCATGACAATTTTTATGTGCATCACCTGGTTTTTTGCTTGCTTGCTTGCTTGTTTATGTGGGATGCTTCAATTTCGCCATCATGGCCGCCATCTTGGCTTTTCCCACCATACCCTGCGGACATTCCTGCCCCACCCTTTAGCTTTGCTTGGCCGTGTTCGTTGACTGTGGAGGGGAAGCAAAAAAGAACCCTGCAGATCGCTGTGGGGGAGGCTATGGGGGGAGAGGCATCAAGGCATCTTGGCTGCTGGAAGAAGGAGGGGGTGGACTTGGGAAGTCTCCCCAATGGGACACCCCCACCCTCCTGTCCTGTAGCTCCAGGTAGAGCCCTGGAAGGAGAGCCAAAGCCAACATCACGGAGACATGCAAACAGTCTGAGATCAGTGCCCCTTTAAGAAGGACATAAGGCATGCTCTGCTGGATCAGGCCTCTGGCCCATCTAATCTAGCCGTCTGTTCTCACAGTGGACAACCAACTGCCCAAGGAAAGGTCCTGCGCTGACCATCCCTCAGCTGGAGAACAACGAACAACACAACCACACATCTGATTCTGCTCATCCTTGTGACGGGGACTGCTGTGGAACGGGGTTTCACTTCTGCAAAGCATGCACTGGGATCTCCTCGTGAAGGCAAGACCAGCCCAGCTCCACGGCTGCATGTGACCCTTTCTGGCAGGAAGTGCCCAGCTTTCACTTCTGATTGATAAAGGCCAAGGAGGCTCTTCCTGCAGAGACAGAGCTGTGGGGACACGCCAACAGGGCACAGCAGCAGTGGCAGAGAGGTCCGCTGCTCTCTGCCCAATGGAACCTCCAGAGGCTGATCTCACCCCACGTGGAGGTAAGATGGGCCATTCCCAAAGAGCCTCGCAGCCTTGAGGAGGGGGGCAGAGTCGGCTCATTCTTCATCAAAGGTCCTTTCCCACTACAATAGCTAAGCTGCTTGCTTGGATCAATCTAGAAGCGGTTTTGTGTTTTTGCCTGTCAAGACGTTTCTGATCTGCTTCTAAAGTTGCAGGCATTTTATTAGGATGTGTCTCTCTTCTGGATGGGGTCCTTTTTGGGGGGGGTGGACTGCTTGTGATCCCCTCTCTCCTCTTCCTCTTGCGCACATGCTCGTGTCCAGAACAGAAGAGTAAGTGGCTCCCAGAATGACAGTCTTGAGGACAAAGAGAGGATTTCAGCCGTAAGGCAACCAGAAGAAATGTAGCTACTGTGGTCCTTGGCTTGCAATTCCACCAAGCCACCCTTGAAGGTTTTGAGCTCTCAAAGGCCAAAGGTTGCTTAATTTAATGCAAATCACCAGCTATTGCCAAGGGCGGTGGTCACAACATACTAAATCGATTAATATATGAAGACAATCACAGTAAACCAACAGGAAGATGTTACATAGAAGTGGCACCAGCAGGGCCTTCTGATGTGGGATAGTAAAACATTATTTCCTAATATAATTTTTGATAAGACTGAAATTGAGCAATGCTCCCCTTTTATTAAATCAGTGGCTTTAGCGCCTGGAAAGGGAGCTGTAAGGCCCCAATCAGCAGACGCTCTCCTGCACCGGTCTCCCAAGGGCACCGCAGCCAGTTCCTCCCACGTCTCAGTTGGGCTTGTGCAGAACTTCCCACGCGACTCACTCCTCCTCAGTGTATGCCATCCCCACACAAGCACACCCTGCTTTGAGGAGCCCCGCACTTCCTGCGTGACACCTTTTTTTGTGTTCCACTGCAGTCATTTGGGAATCTGAGAGCAACTCGAGTTCGGAGGAAGATGCGGATGGCCAGGTAGGTGGGTCCCTCCAGCTACCTCTAGTGTTCCGTCTTCAGAAGAGGCCACCCCAGGCAGAATGCATGGACCGATCTGGCTCCTTGGGGGGTGCTCTGCCTCCAAACCTCACAGCGCAGAGCAACAACGCCCTCGCTTCTGCTCCTCCTGGGCTGAGATTTTGTAAAGAAAGCCGTGTGCGGCAAGAGCTCCCTTTCTGCTCTCTTATTTGGTACCAGAAGATACTTCCAATGTTGTACAAATAGACATCATGGTACTTGTTAGCTGCATTTCCATAATATGATAAACTTGGTTAGTTTTAATCCTGGATACATACACACATTTGCTGACTTGGAATCTTGTACAAACTCAGTCTTTGCTTATGCTTCTCTGTATTGTGCCAACCTAAACACGGTCAGTTCAGTAACCAAGGTAAACGGGTTGGGCAAGTCGAGCCTGGTGATTTGTGCCTCGAGTGAGAACTCTGGGTCCATTCGTTGTCATCTGGGCTGTCCACCGTATTCTCAGGAGTCTTCTCCAACACCAAAGTTCGAAAGTATCAGTCCTCTTCCTATCTGCTTCCACAGAGTGTCACACTCGTTCTTTAGTAGAACTATTAATAAAAATATATTTCTTGCTCTGACCATAGAGTTATCTATCTCGTTCTCCACTCTCTGGGGAGATTATAGTTGTTGCTTTTTAAGAAAACAAGCTTCTAGTTCTCATGCAGAAAGAACAGGAAACTTCATGTGGAGAAGAGTTTTTCCCAGGTCTGGTTTCCAGCCAAGGCGGACCATCCTGCCCTTGCAGTCGCCGCTTCACTCAACCTCTCACCTCCCACCCCAACCTTGACCTCCATTCCACGTCCTGGCAAGCAATCTAAATTTAGGGGAAATTGTATGAACCGCCGTGCTTAGCACCGCAGGCACTTCATTGCAGCAATTTATTTTTAAAAAGAAGAGTGTTTTAAAGAATATTTCAGTAGCAGACAAATGTGTAATTTGGTTCATTTTTACAGGAGACCCAGATTTTTCAGGAAATGGCTGAAACCAAGGAAAAAATTGCAGAAATTGAGCAAGGTACGTCAATGTGTACATGCAGAGAGAATTTTCCTTTTCCGCTTCTCTAGAGGGACCTGAGGACATGCCCTGCTGTCAATTCATGAGCTTCAAATCTGGTTTGCAGACATTGAAACCAGAGTATAAGAATGTCTACTGTAGGGTGCTGTTCTTTTCGTTGTTGAGGTTTTGGGGGGAAGAAGTACAACATGTGGGTCCAGGAGAAAAAATGAGCAGTTCAAAAGAAGTGGGTCATTTTTCCCCATCTAAAAATTCAGGCCAGCCGACTGATGTGAAGTGAAAGGAAGGAGCAGAAGCCCTGATTGATCATCCATTTTCCTTCTCCTGGAAAAGGTTCTCCAAGCCAGAGTTTCCACCATAATAGAAATGAGGCCACCACATGGTCTGACTTTCCAGACCAATCCTGTCACCTTGATCAATGCCATGATGACAGCCTGACATCCACATAAGGCCAAATCAGATACAATAGTTGGGTCTGAAGCTTTGTGTAGCAGTCAATCTGCACCCTCCCCCAGGGTATATAGGGGAGGAGAAGGCAATCCCTGAGCCAGTTTAGAGATCCGGCCAAATGTGAGATAAAATCAATTTATTGAGCTTCAAGAAGAGAAAAAGCTCTTCTGTCCAGATATATTAGTGCAGATAGAAGCCAGCAAGTTTTCAGAAACCATCACCTTCACAGCTTCATCCTTAAAAACAAGGCTTCCCTCTATCTCAAGACCTTGTAATCTTTTTGGTGAGTCCCCCCTTCAGGGCTCTCACATACCTTCTCCAAAGTCATCAAAACATGTCTCCATTCCTGCTGATTTGAGTGGCGAGGACCTCGCCCAGTTCAGGATGTGAGGGGACCCCACAACCATGGAACAGACGTCATCATGCTGGGCACAATGCTGGACACGTTGGCTACCCAGGAGACCACTAGATCACAGCAAAGAATTAAGATGTTCTGGGTCTCCTTTCTACCATCTGGTGGCCACCCAGAGCTCTGCAGTCCAGATATGGCAACCCAAGTTATACCATTTGACCACTGAGCAGTTCAAAACTTCTCTTTCAAAATGGCTTGAATTTAGTGATGTTCTCAGAATGGTCCCTACAGTCCACCTCCCCTTAAATCTCCGAGCAAGAGATACAGATGTGGCATAAAAACAGGCAGAGCTTGGGTTGCACCATCACAACCACCATCTTGATTTTTTGGGCCACACTCTGTGGACACCCCTGATGAGGGTTCCTAGTTTGAGGGCCACTGCTCTAATCCACTTGTCTCACTCTTTCCATTCCCAGCTTCTCAAGCCCTCTTAGCCGAGTTGTCCGCCATGGAAGTGGAGTACGAAATTGAGAAGAAGTGCCGAGAGCGGGCAGAAGCCTTTGCCATCCAGGTGAGCAGCATCCCCTCCAACTGAGCGATGCCATTTAGTTGGAGAAAAAAGGCTGGCAGATATCTGTGAAGGCCCTTTAAGAGTTTCCAGCCAAGTTCACCACTGAAAGTCTAGTTCTGTGGGCATCTCCTCACTGGCACCATTTCCCTTCCCCAGTCTCTATAAAAGGCTTTGAAGGAGGCTCTGGGTCCTCTCACATCCACTGGGCCCAAAAATGTTGAGAATAGCCACCGGTAATATATTCAGGGCACCCACTGCAAATGAAGCAGCCCAGCAGCTGAAGGCAGACATTGGTGTGAGAGCACAGAGGTCCACAACTGGTTTTGGGGTGTGCCCCACAGCAGGGCTTCAGTTTTCCTGGGGTAGTAATTTCCCCCAAGAGTAGGCAGAGAGTCCATTTCCTTCTAGTAGAGTGGTGATGGCGGCGGCTTTTATGTGCCTTCAAGTCAGTCGTGACTCCTGGCGACTGCCTGGACAAGCCCCTGCAGTTTTCTTGGCAAGATTTTTGGAAGTGGCTTGTTCTTGCCGTCTTCCTAGGGCTGAGAGAAAACATAGGAACATACGTAGCGTTCCCCAATGGTCTGTCCTCACAATGACCCACCGACTGCCCAAGGAAGCCCACAGGTCTCCCAACTGATGGTCTTCAGAGGCCGTCCCACTGCCATCAAGGCTAAGAGCCATCGATCTCCATGACTTCCATGAATTGGACTAGCCCTTTCTGGAAACCAGCCAAGCTGGTAGCCAGTACCACATCTCGTGGCAACCAATTCCAAAGTCCAATTACACATTGTGTAAGAAAAATTCCTTGTGTCCGTCTTGATTCTTCCAGGATTCAGTTTCAATGGGTGACCTCTGGTTCTAGGTTTTGGGAAGGGGAGGGTAGCTTCCCCGCGTCCACTTGACCCACCCCGTGCACAATGTTGTGCACCTCCCCTCTCATTCACCTCCCTTCAAGACTAAAGAGCCCCCAGTGTCGCACCTCTCCTCGTAGGGAAGCTGCTCCAGCCCCGGGGCCATCGTAGCTGCCCCCCCGAGCCCTCTCCAGCTCCACTGCAGCCTGTCTGAGTGCAGCGACCAGCACTGCACACAATCGAGGGGGCCTGGCCCGGAGCCCCCCAGCTGGCTTTGGGCCTATGGCAGGACTCGGACTCACACTCTCCCGGCTGCTCGCCCGGTGCCTGAACCACGACACCAGGCCGGCTCTCGGCAGAACGGATGTGTTAAGCGAACGAACAACAAAGCAAACGTGTGCATTACAGAAGTAATTACGTCTAAGAGCAACACTGCACCACACCAAGATCCATGATGGTTTTCTTCTTCAAAGGCTCCTCCTGCCTCCTCCACTTCCTTGCACCTTAATCCTGGGGCAGACCTGCCGGAAAAGGGGCCTGGCTTTCAGGGTGCAAAGAAGAGGCCAAGGCGGGCTCAGGGGCCGCCTCATCCCTGGTCAGGAGGGCTGTGCCAGTAATTGATTCGGGGCTCCGATTCAGCCTGATTGACTCCCCCAACTGAGTTGGCAAGTTATTTGGATGAGGTGTTTCGCCCCAGCTGAGATCATTTTGACAATTTCAGCTTCCACGCAGAATTGGTTCAGAGGTCCAAACCATTTTGATTTCAAAAATTCAGTTCAGATATCCGGCTCAAATCCAGGCAGGTTTCTGAGCTGAACTGGGTTACCTGTCCGAATCGATCTGGGCGCTGGGTTTGGATCTGGTCTGAGTCGCGCCTCCCTCCAAAGCAGCCAAGGAGGGCAGCATCTCTCGTGACACACGCGAAAACTGGTGGGGCTTTAGTGGCACCGTTGTGGCTGCCATCTTGACTTTTGTGACCCTGCCCGGGGGACACCCCTGCCTCCTGCTCTGACCAGGTCCCCTGCGGGCGGGCGCTGGAGGCGAGGGCCTCCCTGCACCAGGGGAGGCTCCTGTTTGGAGCAGGTCCCTCCTCCCTGAGACCCGCTCTTCACCTCGACAGGTGAGCCGGGAGAATGTGAAGCTGAAGCAGATCAGCGGAGCTCAGATGCCCGGGCTGGGCCTCCCCTGGGGGGACTTTGCGAGCGGGGGCAGCGCAGAGAAGGACGCTCAGGAGTCAGCCCTGGACCCCATGGGCCAATGCCTTCAGCAGATCAAAGGTCAGCCTGGCATCGTGCCTTCTCCTCCCCAAGGCGGAAGAGCCTCTCCTGGCGGTCCTGCTCAGGGGGCAGGTACCAGGGGGGGCGGGGGCCTGGCCGATCCATTGGCTCCCAGGTGGGGCCTGGGCCAGGGTTCCACTCGCCCTGCTTTCTTCAGTGAACCTGGGTGCTGGGAGCCCACTGAGGCAGAGAGGGGTGGGCTGAATTCAGACAACATGCCAGGCTCAGTGGAGGTTGGCTGGAGAGCGTGCCAGGGGGTCGCGGGAAGGTGCATCTGGAAAACGGAACAGGGAGGGAGGGAAGGAGGAGAAGGAAGACAGACCTGCTGCTGGGCGATTGCGAGAGAGCCCAGCCCCTTCCCCAGCCTAGGACGATGCAGCTGCTAGGACGGGCCAGCCACAATCGGGAGGTTTGCGGGGCGGGCAGGGGGCGAGTGCGCTGGAGCCGGAGAGCCAAAAACGTCTCCGCTGGCCGACCCACCGACCCACCGACCC